AAGCTCAGCAGCAGCTCAGCCTGGCCGGGGGAAGCGCTCACGCTGACGAGAGAGTGACATCTCTGAGGGCACAGTGACATCCAGTGGCAGGGGACACTGCCTGTCCCGCGCTTCTGGCAAGGCCCACCACCCTACTGGAGCTCAGGAAACGGAGCCAGGGCAGCTCCCCCAGCCCGAGGGAACCCTGAGCGCCATGGGCAGCTCCCAGCTCCCCAAGGCTACTCTGGAGAAGCTGTCCAGGCTACAAGCCCCGTGTGACACCTCAGGGTGACAGAGATGTCCTTAGGGGTGTTCCTGTCAGGGATGTTCCTGTCAGGGGTGTCTCCCAGGGCTGTTCCTCTCAGGGGTGTTCCTCTCAGGGATGTTCCTGTCAGGGATGCGTCTCAGAGATGTGTCTCCCAGGGCTGTTCCTGTCACGGCTGTTCCTCTCAGGGCTGTTCCTCTCAGAGATGTGTCTCCCAGGGCTGTTCCTCCAGGGCTGTTCCTCTCAGGGCTGTTCCTCTCTTTCAGCTCCTGTTCCAGGACCCAGCACAGGACCCAGCTGAGGACGTGTTCCTGACGGAGCTGCTGACCCAGGTGCAGGACAGCCCGTCCCACAGAGGTGTGTGTGTCCCACCAGCCCCAGCCCGGACAGGGCTCTGCCACCCCCAGCTCCCACCCACGCCCCCCTCAGCCTGCACAGCTCCAGGCCGTGGGCAATATTCCTTGTTCCTGGCCTCCACCTCCCTCCTGGGCCCGGGAGATCAGGCTGGTGCCGGCCCTGGTGGCCGCTGGCTCCTGGCTCAGCCAGGGTTTGCAGTCTGTGCCTGTGGTTGGCTCCAGCACGCTCCAGCTGGGGCTGAGCCCTGATTCAGTTGGGGAAAGAAGCTGGCCTTCACAGCCAGATGTTTTTCCTGTAGAAATCCAGTTCCTCGAGCTGCCAGGGGTGGAACAGGAGTGCCGGGAGGCTGTTCCAGCAGTGCCACCCAGCTCCTCTGTCGGTGCACTCTGGTGCCAGTCCAGTGGGTGTTTGTCACTGAGGTTGGCACAGAGCCTGCAGTGAGTCTGTGCCACTGGCACAGAGCCTCAGCTCCCAGGAGAGGGACAGAAGGGACAGAGTGTGACACAAGGCCATGGTGGGACACGGGGGGGGCTCAGCCCAGGGGGGATCCCTCTGCTGAGCACAGACGGGTGGGAGGAGGGAGAGTCAACCCCACCTGGTTCTCTCCTGGCAGAGCTGAGCACAACCAAGAGGAAAAGCACCCTGGATGGGCCTGGCATGGACCTCACAGTGACCTACAGGAGGGTGAGTGGGGCTCCTGCACCCCAATCTCTGCTCCAGCAGGGCACAGACCTGAAAGGGGACTGACCCTCCCTCTGTCCTGTGGGATTGCTGTCCAGGCAAGGACAGAGGGGCTGTGCTGAGCCTGTTAGCTGCCCTGTGCTTGTGCCAAGCTATGCCCAGCCCTCCCCAGGCCAGGCCACTGCCAAGGGCTCTGCCAGGACACTGCCAGGGCACTGCCAGGACATTGCCAGGGCACTGCCAGGGCACTCTAGGACACTGCCAGGGCACTGTCAGGGCACTGCCAGGACACTGCCCCTTGCCCACAGGTTGTGCTCAGTGACCGGCAGAAGGAGCTGGCCCTGTCCCTGCGCTCCACGGGCCTGCTGATGAAAGCCATCCCTGCTGAGGAGGCTGAAGGTGAGTTCTTCCTCCTTCCTGAGGTTTCTGGTGCTCAGTGCAGTGGATCTGGCCACAGTCCTTGGTGCCAGCTGTGTCTGGGCTCTGGGGGTGGAATCAGTGACAGGAATATTGGTGTCCCCATGGTCTGGTGGGGGTTTTCTCAGCAATGACGTGTCTGAGGCTCAGACTGGATTTCAGCATCTTCCCTCTGCTCCAGCCTTCCTCATTCCGCTGGCCCTTAGCACAGCCTCTGAGCTTTCCACCCCGGGCACGATCCCACACAATTCCTGTGCCCTTGGAGCCTGCTGGAGTCCCATGTGTCCACAGTCAGTGACCCAAACGTGGGGCAGGGCCCCCGAGAGCTGAGCTGAGGCTGTGCCATGGCCCCAGACCAACCCTCTGCTTCTGTCCAGACCTGGGCTGCCTGACTGTGACCATCACCGAAATCATCAGGACCAGCAACTTGGCAGGACGCTCGTTCTCAGTGAGTCCCCGTGGGATCCTCAGGGCCAAAATCCCTTCAACAGCAGGGAAAGGGGCAACCCCGGGAGGAGGAGAGGGCTTTGGGGCCACCCTGTGATTATTTCCCATGGAGAAGTCTGGATGTTTGAGCCAAAGCCCCAGACACCCTGGGTGTCATCCCTGCTGGTCACTCTCATCCCTGCTGGTCACTCCCATCCCTGCTGGTCAGTGCCATCCCTGCTGGTCACTGCCCTCCCTGCTGGTCAGTGCCATTCCTGCTGGTCACTCTCATCCCTGCTGGTCAGTGCCAGGTTCTGAATACAGAGAAAGGATTCTCTTTGTGCCACATCTGAGGTTTAAAAAAGAAAACCAGAGAAATGCCATTTTCTGTCCCTGTCACACCCAGCACGCAGCCCAGGGCAGGGGGCAGCCTCAGCAGGCTCTCTCTCCTCTGCCCATCCAGGCTGTGGCAAACAGGTTCAAAACACGGAGTATCAAGGTCAGGAGCCCAGAGCAGAGACCCTTCACGGTGCAGCTGGACAAGGACAGCAGGAGAACCTACAGGGACGTGATCGGGTGAGAGCCCTGGGGTGCCAGCTCTGCACATCTGCCTGCATCCCCTCCTGTCCCTGGTCCTCACCCGTGACAAAACCCCTCGTTCCTTCTCCAGGGACAGCAGGGCACGCTGGGGCTCTCCTACATTTGTGTTTTCAGGAGAGGGTGTGAGGAATAAAATGATTCTTTACACAAGAGGTGCTGTTGAGGCAGGAGAAAAGCAGGCATCTCCAGGGGCAAGCAGAGCTCAGATCTCCTGAATGATGAATTGTACCAGGGTGCTGATGCTCTCTGCACTGCCTGCATCCCTCCCCCCGGGGTCTCCAGCAGGTGCAGGTTGGGGAGAGGACCCAGCCCTGTGGACATGGCGGGGTTAATGTGCCTGGGGCAGCTGCAGGGATACGGAATGTGCTGGTGGTTCAGTGTCCAGCCGACATAAACTGAATTCCTGAGTCACACTGAGCCAGGCTCAGGACCTCGGGTTTGCGTCAAACACTGACAGCTCATCTCTGCAGCCAAACCCAGCCGCAGAAAGCACAAATGCAGCTGCAGCTGGCCGTGGGAGAGCTGGGGTTTGCTCGGGGATCACATCGGAACATGCCACAGTAAATGTGTTCTGTGCTCTTCCAGCCTGGAGGTGTCTCCCTGCCTCGAGCCCAGCTACTGCCTGCAGAAGACGAGGACCACGAAATTCAGCCCTCAGGAAACAGAAGACGTGGGGCTTGTGAAATACCTGCCCAAGTCTCTGCTGCTGCCCATCAACACTTTTGCAGGAGTCATCCCCTGAAGGAGACGGGAGAAGGTGCTGTGGGTGATGACACGGGGTCAGCACAGAGGACACGGGGAAAGAAAACACACAAAAAGCCACCGGTGGTGACTTCACATGGCAACGGTGTGAAGAGCTGCCCCAGCAGAGGTGGATAGGCTCGGAGGGCACAGCCATGCCCTGTGACATGTGTGACAATGGCCCCATGCCCCTGCCAAGGGCACAGCTGTGCTGCAGGACTGAGCTTTCACCTTTTGCACAGGTCAGGGAAAAGCTTTGAGCTCTCCGTTTGGGAAGAGTGAGGAAGATCCGTGCGAGGTGGTGCTGCCTGTCCTGGGGAGCCAGGGCAGCTGGCAGCAGCAATATTTCTTTTGGAGATGTCTCACAGCCCAGCAGGGGCCAGGTTTTCACCTCACAAGCCAAACGTTGTTGGTGCTCCCCTGTGCCACACTGGGGCATCAAACATTGTGTCCCTGGGGGAAGCTGAGGGGTGGCAGGAGCTCTCAGGCACCTCAGGAAACCCCTGCACGAGCAGCTCTTGTTGTTGGCATCGTGTGGGCTTTAAGGGGTGACCCCTCTGCACCCCTCTGCCTCTCCAGGGCTTCCCCGTGGGGTTTGCACACACCAAGAAAAGGCTCAGAAAGCCAAAAGGGCTTCCCCTCTGGGCTGGGGTGTGGGCTGGTGTCCAGAGTTTGTTCTGTACAGCTGTAAATGTTGTAGATGGATGATAAATTATTTGTATAGGTGTTGTGGATGACTTGTACCAGAGGGTGCAATCCTTTCAGTGCCAATTGAAGGAAATTTAGACAAACCCAAGCCGAAGCTGCCACTTGGTGGTTGTTTTGTGTTTGCACGTGGCTGGGCTGCTCAGGAGCTCCATCTGAACGTGAGGTTCAGTTCTTCCCTGAACGGATTGTCCAGGGAGCGTGTGGAGCGTCCCTCACTGGGGATATTCCACACCCGCCTGGACACAATCCCGTTCCATGTGGTTCCTGTCCGTGTTCCCCGCGCCCCGGCGGGCCGGGATGAGGGCGAGCCCCGGGCTGGTGCCCTCCGAGCCCCCCAGCTTGTGCGGGGTCGTTGGGCCGGGTGAGCGCTGCGGCCCCTTCCAGCCCGGGCCATAACGGGATGCTGCGCGAGGGGATGCGCCGGGCCATTCCCGTGACGGTCCCGGGCCATTCCCGTTCCGATCCCGGGCCATTCCCGTGCCAGTCCCGGGCCGATCCTCTGCCGGTGCCGGCCATTCCCGGCCCGGTCCGCAGACGGCGCTGCTCCCCGCCGGTGCCGGGGCGGGGCAGCTGCCGGGCCGGGGCCGCCCCGGTGCCGCAGGTGCGGCCGCTCCGCCCCGCCCGGAGCGGGGCCGGCGGGGGGAGCGGCGGGGGGGGGAAAACGGGGGGGGGCGCGCCCGGTCCGCAGACGGCGCTGCTCCCCGCCGGTGCCGGGGCGGGGCAGCGGCCGGGCCGGGGCCGCCCCGGTGCCGCAGGTGCGGCCGCTCCGCCCCGCCCGGAGCGGGGCCGGCGGGGAGAGCGGCGGGTGAGGACATGCGGCGGGGCCATGAGCGAGCGCTGGGACGTGGGCCGGGCCCTGGCGCTGGCCGCGCTGTTCCGGCTGCTGCAGGGCGCGGCCCGGGGCTGCTCCGAGCCCTTCGTGCCCCTCTACCTGCGGCTGCTCGGGCTGCCCGCGCCGCTGGTGGGGGTCGCGGCCGGGGCCCGGCTGCTGGCGGCGCTCGCCGTGCCGCTGTGCTGCCCGCGGGGCCGCGCCCGGAGCCTGCTGCTGCCGGGCTCGGTGCTGGGCTCGGCCGGGGCCAGCCTGGCGCTCACCCTCATCCCGCCCGCGGGGGACGCGGGGAACACGGGCTGTGACCGCAGCCTGCAGCTCGGCCTGCCCGGCTCCCTGCCCTCCGTGCTGCCCTCCGCTCTGCCCAGCCCGGTGCCCGCCGCAGTGCCCAGCCCGGTGCCCAGCCCCGGCAGGAGCAGTGACACAGCGCTAAAGCCGAGTGCTCTGCCGCACACCAGAGCCGTGCCAGGGGCAGCGGGGACTGCGGGGACAGCGGCTGCTGACGTGTGGGCAGCGAGCAGGAAGCCCGCTCTGGGCAGCTCAACCTCCCAGGGCGTGTTGGGCACGGCAGGTGAGCTTCAGGAACGCGGCAGAGGGACTGGGGAAGGTGATCCAAAGGGAAAAGGCTCCTTGGATGGTCCCTCTGGCTGGACAGTGAAAGGCATTGATCAGCCGACTCCGGAACCAGAACGGCCGGCATCCTACGGCGCTCCCTTCCCTGGGCTCCAGGAGGAAACACCAGGCTCTGCTCCCACCACCTATCTTGCTGAATATGCTGAGGAAAGCCTAAATGCTACTGAGAGTAATGAGCCAGCTTTGTTTAAAACAGCTCTTCCCGCTGTTGGAGAAGCCCACGTGTCTGAAAACCTTTCGGACTCTCGAGATGTCAGCTTGGAGGCAGTGCAGAGCATCTCCCAGCACACAGAGTACCAGGTTTTTCTCATGGTCCTGGGCGCTGTGGTGCTTTGGGAGCTGTTGGCCACTTCCCTGGAATGGAGCATGGATGAGAGTGTCTACGAGTACCTGGACTTTGTGGACGCCACGGACAGGTACCGGCAGCTGTGGCTGTGGGGCTCCGCGGGCGCGGCCGCCGGAGCGTGCGGCGTGTCCGTGCTGGTGGATCGGCTGGATTGCTCCCTCGGCGGCTCCGTCCCCCGCCTCGCCGTGCACTTCTACGCCTACGCTGTCCTGGTGATGCTCTCCCTGATGGTCAGCGTCTTCTTTCCAGGCCACGCTGCCAGGCAAAGCGCCCGCGCTGCCGGGCTGGCCAAAGCGCTGTCCGTGCTGCGGGGGCACGGCCGGGCGCTGCTCTTGGCGGGCACCCTGTTCCTCGTGGCCGCTGCCAGCTCTGCCAGCCACACCTTCCTCCTGTGGCAGCTGCAGGACCAGGGCAGCAGCGAGCTCCTCCTGGGGCTCTGGGTGTCGCTGGGGCCGCTGGCAGAGCTGGCCCTTCACCCGCTCGGGGCGCGGCTGCTGCGGGCGCTGCCGGGCGGCGGGCTGGAGGTGCTGAGCCTGGGCGCGCTGGCAGCGCAGCTCCTGAGCTATTCCCTGCTCCGGGCGCCGTGGGCAGCGCTGCCCGTGCAGGCGCTGTCCGGCCTCGGCAGCGGGGCGCTGCGCTGGCGGCTGGAGGGGACGGTGGCGGACGTGGCCCCGGCGGGCTCGGAGCGCGCCCTGCTCGCCCTGCTGCGGGCGCTGAGCGCGGCCGGGGCCGGCCTGGGCAGCCTCGGCAGCGGCTTCGTGGTGCAGCGCCTCGGGCTGCCCGTGCTGCTCCGGGCCAGCTGCGTGGGGCTCGGGCTCTGGGTCCTCCTCTTCCTAATTGTCCAATCCAGATTGCCCCGGCAGAGAAAAATTAATTATTCCCGGCTCCTGGCTGCTGATTCCAGTGAAATGAGTGACTCAGAGGAGGAGAACGAGAAGGACTGGCTGGTAAAGGCTATGAAGGATGAGGGCTTTAACAGGAATTGGATACGGCAGCATGGGATCAAGTAGTCTGTACGTAAATCTGTGGGGTGGAGTGGGAACCTGGTGTAATGATAATATCCAGAAATCACCATCAGTTCGAAACTGCTAAATATATAGAGGCTATATCTGACATGAGAGATTTTAATTTTTTTTTTAAAAAACCCTATAAATCTTATTTTCTTGCTTTATAGCATTCTACATTTTTGTAATTTTTCCTTTTTAACTTGATGATTTTGCTTCCAAAATCTCCAAAGGCTATTTCAGGTGTACATTGGCTAAATGAATATAGCTGAGTTTTTAGTCAAAAACCAAACTTGGATTGTTGCTGCCAGGGCTGCTGCTGAGGCTGAGTGACAGTTGTGACCTGGGCTGTGACACTACCAAATGGAAATTATTGACACGCTGACAGCACACAGAACCCTTCCAGGGTGGCTGTGAACTCTGCACTTTTTAAGGGATGTGAATAAAACCCTGGTTCATTTGTAAGAGAAGGTTTATCCGCAGACCACCCGCTGTGTCGTGCTTTGTGATTTCCGTGGGCTCCTGCTCGGAATCTGCTGGGAGAACCCCCCGGGTGTGCTCCGAGCCCGCGGCTGGCCCAGCCCTGCCGGGCACTTCCTGGCGCTGCTTTGAGGTGTGCCCGGCGTTCCAGGTGGCAGGAAGCAGCCTGGCCGCCCGACAGCTGGCACTTGTGCGGGCTGGGGATTTCCGGAGGGCGGGATGGAATACCTGCCCTGGATCCTGAGCAGGGTCAGCCAGGCAGGGACAGCCACCACCCCAGAGACAGAAGGGGAATTCATTTCTGTCCCTCACTAACCAAGGAACCCCCAAAGCAACCCCTGGGCACAGGTGCACGAGCAGAGAGCAGCACTCGGTCCGTGCCAGAGGATCTCCTTCACACTGAGTTATCCCAGGTTATTCCCAGCTGGAAGTCACTGGTTTCCAGCCTTCCTCTTTTAACCCGTTCCTGGGTTAAACCTCCTCACCTGCTCTGCCTTCACCTCCAAGGCACAGATTTCAGCCCCTCTCCAGGAGGTAAGTTCTGCTTCTCAGTGGAAAATCGGTGTCACCAAAAGATCTTAAACGGGGTTTAAATGAGCCTTGGAGTCCCTCAGCCACAGCAAAGGCTGCTGTCAGTTATCAGGTACTCCCTGGTCAGGGAACCGCATCCTTCCTGTGCACAGGGATGGATTTCAGTCACATCTGCCCGAGTGGCTCACAGGTCCCGAGACAGGCAGCTGCAGAAAGCAGAATATTTATGGAGATGCAAAGGCTATTTCAGGTGTACATTGGCTAAATGAATATAGCTGAGTTTTTAGTCAAAAACCAAACCTGGATTGTTGCTGCCAGGGCTGCTGCTGAGGCTGAGTGACAGTTGTGACCTGGGCTGTGACACTACCAAATGGAAATTATTGACACGCTGACAGCACACAGAACCCTTCCAGGGTGGCTGTGAACTCTGCACTTTTTAAGGGATGTGAATAAAACCCTGGTTCATTTGTAAGAGAAGGTTTATCCGCAGACCACCCGCTGTGTCGTGCTTTGTGATTTCCGTGGGCTCCTGCTCGGAATCTGCTGGGAGAACCCCCCGGGTGTGCTCCGAGCCCGCGGCTGGCCCAGCCCTGCCGGGCACTTCCTGGCGCTGCTTTGAGGTGTGCCCGGCGTTCCAGGTGGCAGGAAGCAGCCTGGCCGCCCGACAGCTGGCACTTGTGCGGGCTGGGGATTTCCGGAGGGCGGGATGGAATACCTGCCCTGGATCCTGAGCAGGGTCAGCCAGGCAGTGACAGCCACCACCCCAGAGACAGAAGGGGAATTCATTTCTGTCCCTCACTTACCAGGGAACCCCCAAAGCAACCCCTGGGCACAGGTGCACGAGCAGAGAGCAGCACTCGGTCCGTGCCAGAGGATCTCCTTCACACTGAGTTATCCCAGGTTATTCCCAGCTGGAAGTCACTGGTTTCCAGCCTTCCTCTTTTAACCCGTTCCTGGGTTAAACCTCCTCACCTGCTCTGCCTTCACCCCCAAGGCACAGATTTCAGCCCCTCTGAAATAGTAATTTCTGCTTCTCAGTGGAAAATCGGTGGTCTGGTGTCACCAAAAGATCTTAAACGGGGTTTAAATGAGCCTTGGAGTCCCTCAGCCACAGCAAAGGCTGCTGTCAGTTATCAGGTACTCCCTGGTCAGGGAACCGCATCCTTCCTGTGCACAGGGATGGATTTCAGTCACATCTGCCCGAGTGGCTCACAGGTCCCGAGACAGGCAGCTGCAGAAAGCAGAATATTTATGGAGATGCATATTTAGTGTGGCGTATGCAAATGGCCTGGCAGTGTGTCACCCTGCCGCGTTGTGGGCTCGGCAGGAAGCGCTGCAGACAAGGAAAGGACTCCCGGGCGATCATTCCTCTTTCTGCATGCATCCATCCCGCATTATCTGTACATCAGATGCTTTCAGGGCAATTAGCTCCCTCTCTTCTGGCGGCGAGCCTCTGTGCCAGCACAATGCTCTGCTGGAATGGCTCTATAGATAGAACTGTCCCCGTGCCAAGAATAGCTGGAACTTTTTATTAAGATGTTATCTTCTCCCGGGAATTCAAACACGAGTGGAGCAATTTTGATGTCAAGAATTTCTGCCGGTCTTATTATCGTGTAATACCTGAGGAACAAAGCGTGTTAATGGGGGATCTGCCTGCAGTCAGGCTCATCCCCGCACGCAGCACATCCTGAGCCTTTGTGAGCGGCTCAGAAAGAGCTGGAACGCTTTGAAATGCAGCTGCTGCTTCAGCTGCCAGCGCTGCCCTCGTTAGAAACCGATTACCTGGGTGAGCCGTGCCCTTTTCATCCGCCTCAGCACAGCAGCAGCTGCTGGAGTCCAGATTCACTGGGAGAAGCCTTGCAGTGACAGGAGCCTGTCCATCCTGGAGCTGTGCAGAGGGGTGACTCCCCTGAATCTGCACCGAATGTGTTTAATGGATTGATAATCTTAAAAAAAAAAAACCCTTTATTGTGCAAGATTATCACACTGACATTGAGCTTTGGGCATCCCCTTAAATCCTGCCCGTCCACAGCACGAGTTCCTCTCCCTAAGGAGGGGCAGGGGAAGGTCCCACTGAAACTCCTCAGAATTCCAGGACCTGGGCGAGGCTGCTCCTGTCCCTGATTTGCACTTCCCTCTGCACGGATGATTTATCCTGGAGGATTCCATCCAACCCAGCAGCTCCAACGGTGTGTGAATTTTATCCTGGCTGTGGGTGGCGCTGGGCTGTCTGATTTACTCCTGATAAAGTGAGCCTAGGAAATGCATCAAACTCAAGTTCAGCCCCCAGCAGATCTGGCTGCTCGCAGCTAAACTCATCCTGGAGAGTGCTTGCCTGAAGAACTGATTAAAATATTTGCAGGTTCATTTTCTCTGCGCTTCGGAGCGACCAAAACAAGGTGAGTCACTGCAGCCCCGCTGGCTCCAGGGCTGGGGTGCTCATCATTTCATCAGCTGAGAGGCTTCATGGCTCTCCTTCCCCGCACACCCAAACCAGGCTGGGAGCCGGCAGTTCCTTACAACCCCGGGGCATTCCTGAGCGATTCCCTGCAATGCTGGGGCTCCCTGGTTGTCCGGGGTCACCCTTCCAGCTCACAGCCCACCTCCACGGCCTCCTGGCTTCGTGCTGCTCCTGGGAGAGTGCTCCTGCATTTTCAGAGGTGCTGCTGCTTCATTTCCATCCCAGAGCAGCAGCTCCCACATCCTTTCCCCCCGTTTTCAGACAGAGACTCTTAATTTTTGCCTCCTTGTGTTTATATTCCACAGTGATCCCCAAAGAATGAAGCACCATCTCTCTGGCGTGTGTTCTGCTTCAAATCCTTTGGCTGGGTCAAAAGCCGGGAGGTCCCCTGGCTGTTGGAGGTGAGAATTCCAGGATTTTGCTCAGGTTTGTGTTTCACTGGCGGGAGCTGGGGCTGCTGCGAGCAGAGCCAGGGACTGGTTCTGGGCAGGGGCCGATCCCCCAGACCCTCCCTGTGTCACCGTGTCCCTGCTCTCCAGCCAGTGGCACTTCCCAAAGTGTCCCTGAGCCCTTGGACCTGTGCATGGGGACACCAGCGTCACCTACAGAGACGTCCTGGCCGAGAAGTGTCGCAGCAGAGGACCCTCATGTGTCCCCTCAGGGTGTTCTGGGGCAGGGGGTGTTGAGGTGTGTCCCTGCACAGCCGTGAATCCTCAGGCGGGTGCTCTGGGAGCACAAACCCCGGTGAGAGGAGGGTTTGCGCCCCAGCCCCCCTTCCCCGGCCGTGTGCTGGGCCCAGCCTCCAGGGCAGTGCCACTGGGCATTGCTGTCCTGGCAGAGCGAGGAGGGAGCGCCAGGGTCCTGCTGGGGGGGCTGCTGGACTTCAGCCCTTGGAGCGTGGCTCAGACTCTCACTGTTGGGTTTTTCCGTGGGGAAAAGTTTCTTGTGCCAGAAAGCACAGCTGCCCTGGCTCAGCGGGTTTTGAGGGGCTGTTGGGTGCTGTGCCCCGTGTCCCCCGGAGCCTGGGCGCCTTCAGTGCCCGGCCCCGCTCGGTCGGTGCCGATGCTGCGCGTTTGGGGGTGAAACTGCCCGAAAGGGGCCGGGACGAGCGCCGGGGCATGGCCCGGGTGAAGCTGCAGGGGCCGGGGTCTGCAGGCGGGGGGCTCGGAGGGGAGGGAGCGGCGGGAGCGGAGCGGGGGGATCAGTGAGAGCCCCCGCCCCGGCGGAGCGGAGAGAGCAGCGCGGAGGGAGCGGAGGAAGCGGCGGAGCCCCCGCCCCGGCGGAGCACGGCGCGCTGGGCTGCGGATGGAGGGCAGCCGCGCTTCTCCCCGCTACGGATCCATGGAATCCACCCGCTGGCCGCCGGCCGGCGCGGGGCCAGGTGAGCGCGGCGGCACCGGCACCGGCACCGCCCGAGCCCAACTTCCCCCGCCCCGGGGCTCCGGGACAATCCGGGCACCCGAGCCCCGGGAGCTGGAGGGGAGCCGGCGGCTTCATCCTCCAAACGGAGCACAGCCGAGGTCCCCGGAGCGGCCATCGGGAGTGGGGGGGATGGAGGATGGATGGATGGATGGATGGATGGATGGATGGATGGATGGATGGATGGATGGAAGGAGTGGCTGAGGGACAGTAAGGACGGGGAGAAGGGGCCGGGCGGG